CAGCACTGGGACAGCCTGGGGACAACATGGGGACAGCACAGGGGGCAGCCTGGGGACAGCACTGGGACAGCCTGGGGACAACACGGGGACAACCGGGGGACAGCACTGGGACAACCTGGGGACAGCCTGGGGACAGCACCGGGGGCACAGTGGGCACGGACAGACCCCTCGGGCCCGGCAGAGCTGTGCCCGCTGCGCTGCCCTGTCCGTCCTGGTGCTGTGCCAGGCAGGTGAACCCTGGGGCACCTGCACAGCTTGGGGATTAGCATCGAAATAGAAACCTGGTTACCCTTCTGGAGCTGTTCTGTGTCATTCCTGCCGCTCTCCCTAATCGATTACAGGTTATTTTTAACCTGCGCAGGGATTTTTCTAACCTCCCTCCTGGCACCTGGTTCCTTACAATGGAGCAGGTGACAGAGCTGGTCACCAGTGCCACCAGGAAACTGACCCAGTGCTCTGTGTGCTCAGATGCTGCTGAGCAGTTTAAGGCCCTTGCTGGAATCCTGTGCCTGTTACTTGCAGGCCAAGCTGGTGGGAAGTGGAGGGGAAAGGCCTGGAGCAGTTCAGCAGAGTCCCCAGCATCCCACTGAGGAGAAACCTCCTGAGCTGCTCCTTGTCCCCAGCCCTGGGACGAGGAGGGTTTGCTGTGGAGGTGTAAATGAGACCTGTGTGACGCTGTGTCCCTTGCAGATCGCTGACCCCGAGGCCTGCGACCAAATGTACGAGAGCCTGGTCAGGATCCACACCAACTACTACAAGAACAAGGTGAGCTCTGCCCACTCTCCTTTGGGGGAGTCACCACCTGCTGCAGGGGCTGCCTCGTCCCAGCAGTGTCCTGGGAGTGGCAGAGTTCTGGGAATTCTCCGGGGTGGATGCAGCAGTGCCTGGTGCCTTTGGCAGGGGCAGCTGTGTGATGTGTGATGTGTGAGCAGGGCAGACCTAGTTCTTGATGTGGATGGACAGAACTCCTGGAACTGGGCTGGAAATGAGCTCACACTTGGACCTTTTTCATGCCCTACAAGTAACATCTTTGTTTCTCTCTCCTTCCCTTGCTGACCTGTGCAGTATCCACGCCTGAAAGACACAACCTTCACTGGGCTGACTGTGGAAGATTGCAGGATGATCCTGGCAACAGGTACTGAGGCTGTGCTTGCTCTGAGAGGGCAGTGCAGGAGAAGAGGGACAGTCTGTGTGGTGCTCCCTGCATCACCTCTAAACCCCTGGGAGTGGGGGGCAGCAAGGGGCTGCTGCAAGTGTGTGAGGCTGCTGGATGAGGAGTAAGCTCAGGAGTAACTAAGGAGTAACTCATTAATCTGTCGGGGTGAAGAGTCGATTGGATTTGCATTGGCAGGAGCAGCAAAGGGGTTGCAAAGGCTCTTTGGGGTGAGACAGCAGGAGCTGTGTGAGAGAAACACTTTTCCTAGCTCGGCTCCCAACAGGGAGCTCAGCTTCTGTTTCACCATCCTCCTGTTCCCTTTGGTGTCTCTCTTTTTGTGTGGGACCCTGGCAGGGAGCTGAGTGCCCCATGCAGAAATGCTCAGCCAGATCCTTTCTGAAGTGCAGAGCAGGAAGCCAGAGCAGTTTTGTTCTGCTCCAGTTCCTGACTTTGATTGCAGCGTGTGAAAACTGAGTATCAGCTGTTAGTGATAAGAGACTCCCTGCACTGATGGGAAGGGAAACCAGCCTTGCCTCGGGCCCAGAATGGAAATTCATTAAGATGAAAAGTCAGAAAAGGGAAATAGATGGAAGGCAGAGCGGTTACAAGAGGGTTTTATTCATCTGCTTATCTTCATCTGTCCCTGTCTCGCTCCCTTCTCCTTTTGCAGACATTCTCAAACAGATGGAAGACATGAAAAAAGGGACATGGAAAAGGCTGAGGGAAAAGTTTTCTGCCAAGAAACCCGAAGAGGACTCAAAGTGAGAGGCCAGCTCTCAGCTTCTCCACTGTACATACCCCTACAGCTCTCGGTGTTGCCATGATGAATAAACCCATTTGTTCCTCTCAGCATCAGCACTTTTGTTCAGCCCTACCCTCACATCCTGCCTGGTTAGTGCAGCTTTTTTTAACCCGAAAAATCTAGGGCAGAGCTTCACACATCCATGCTGAAGCCATTGCAGGAGCAACACAGAGGAGAGAACTTTGTGGTGTTAGACCTGATCCTTGGAGCCATCAGGAGCTGCGCAGAGCGAGGAGGGGCAGCTGTGTGTGAGGGCCAGGGGATGGCCTGAGAACGTGTGTGTGACACAGGGACAGAGCAGCTGAGGGAGGGAGAACTCTGATCACCACGTTTAGCTTCCTTTTGGGTGAGGGTGACTTCACCATGGTGGCAGTGGAGCACTGAGAGTTGGCTCCGTGCAGCTTCCCTCAGCACGAGGAGAGGGTTCCACGGGGTAACGGCAGGTTTTAATGACTTGTTGGTGTATAGGGCCATAAACACATGTCAAGTGCTGTGCAACTTCACTGTTACTGCCTTTTTTATTCCTTTTTAGAGCCTTAATGCTGGCATCAGTGTGTGTTCCTGGGGTTGGAGCTGGGCTTGGCTTGGGAAGGATGAGTGTCTGGAGCAGAGCTGTGCCAGGGCTCTGCTTGGCTCCCTGCAGCACCAACAGCTGCTCCTCTTTATGGGTTTCAACAGTGTTTTCCTGGCAAGGAGTGAAAGAATTCAGAACTTTGCAGCAGGCTCTAGTCCAAAGCTTCAGGAACCAGGGCTGGTGCTGCTGGTGGCTCGTTGTGGCAGCATTTGTCATCAGCCTGGAGCATCGTGTGACACTGAGCAGTGGGTGTGCAGCACCTTGGGTGGCACAGCCCTGGTTTGGCCTCGGCCTGGGGCTGCTCTGAGGCTCTGCACCAGCCCCATCACACACAGTGGGCACAGGAAGGAGCTGCATTTACCACGTGTGAGTTTTTATTATAACATGATTCTGTATTTAATTTAGTTAAGGCAATTTACACTTTAGTTCTTAAGTAACAACAATAACAACCAAAAAAAAAAAAAAAAAAAAAAAAGTCAAACATGACACCAGAGATGAAACTAAAACACAGGACACCCCTTCACAGTGAACTCCTGTAAACCTGCAGGCTCCTACTGCTGCTGCCCAAGGATTCTTGGTCCACAGAAGGCAAAAGACTAGGTCACACTAGGACAAGCTCAGCTCCTCATCTGGCGAGTTAATCAGATCCACCTCCTTGAGTTCAGCCCCTAGTACTGCACCACACGGTGGAGAGAATCTGTACAGGGAGGGGGAGCAGCACAGCAATGCGAGGGGAGGTTGGCAGAGATCCACAGGGACTAGTGGCACCGGAATAAGTTAGATATTGCAGCCCTACAGCTACTTCCCCCGTGCCGAGGGGTGGAGCGCGTGGAGATGACGGCACAACCCTCCACGGTTGCAAAATAAGGAGTTATTGCAGTGAGGAATAAAAGTCCTGTATGATTTATCTTCCTAAAGGGCGTTAGAGCAACACCTGGGCCCAGGAACGGGGAGGAATCCAGTCAGCCCCTGCTCTGGAATCGCTTACGAGTGCTCTAAGGGAAACGCTGGCTGGGAAGCCCTTTCCGCACGGTCCCTCGTCCCCTGCCCGTGCCCTCCGTGCCCGGGGCCCAGGAACAAGCAGCTTCCTTGGCTGACACACAGGTGTAGTCCCTCGGCGGGCGAAGCTGGCGCTGCCACCGAGGCTCAGTGGTTCATGGTGTTCTGGACGTCCACAACCCCCATCCTCTGCCGGCGC